GTTCTTCAAATTAGCAGGTTAATTGACTGTTCACTCCATTCCTCTTGTTCCACACAAGTGGCTGTTTTAGCAAGCATCTCTTCTTGTCTCTAAGTGCTCATTCAAACACTTCCCTGAAAGCTCACTAGACCACACACTACATGATTTTCATTACACCTGTTCTCCTTCCTCGCCAGTTAAAAACCAAATCCCAAAGAGCGATGACAAAAACCAAACAAATCTTTCCTTGGTTTACCTAGTCTACAAGTATTATTGCATTAGCGATATTTCTCAGGGTGGGCTTTACAACTGCAGTGCAGCAGCAGAGACGTTCCTGAGCTAAGTTTAAATTAGGTAACTCAAGCACCAGTATGAATATGGGTTACGTGGAGCTCAGTTCAAGCTAGCTAGGCCTCCCTCTCGACAAACAGACATATCTACAACATCTGGACCCTGGAAGATGAACAAACACCAGTGCCTCCAGCTTACAGTATGAAGGCTGTCCTTGCAAAATCCTCCATCTTGATAGCAGATGCATAGCTCCCTAAGTTAGGGAGAAGGCAGGAAAGAAAACAAGTCTCTTAGAGAGTAACAAAAGAGCTGGAGAAGATACCATACAGAAAAGCCTGCAATTGGCATTTTCCCCCTCCCCAGTATCCCCTCAAAAAAATTACTTTTTATAAGACTCTGCAGAGACAGAGCTTTAGGTGGAATTCAGTAAGCTGAGTCTCACCAGAAAAGCTGCTTTTAAGACCAAAAAATGGAATCTAGTGTATAAAGGATCTCTTTGCTTCCCTGCAGCTGAAGCACAATGTTTGTTGCAAAAATTCTATATTGTACCAAAGCTTTAAGGAAAATAGAAACTTCTAACCAAAATATATCAGGGATATTTCTTACTATTTACCTAATCATTTAACTGCAGACCAATGCACTATGGTGAAGTTCAAAACACTGACAGGTGAAGATCTCCTACTTGAACATGGTTCAGCCTACAAAACACTTAAACATGACTGAAAAGTATCCTCAATAGCAAGCATTTAAGATAGTTCTCAGTGTAACTAGTGCCTAGATAAAGGTAGTAAAAACTATTTTTACAAGGATTACACAACGTTAATTTGAGTAGTTTAGAAAAAGGGATGCATTTTTTTTTCAACAATATCAAACCAGAAATATACCTGCTCCATTGACGTTTCATGAAGTTCATTGAGGTTCAGAGTGTAAATACCTTCTTCTGCACCAAATATCAAGTACTGATCTGCAAACACAAACAAAAAAAGCTAGAAATCCTGATGTCAGGGAGGTGTATATGCAGCTCTTTATCAAAAAAGGACTTTAAACAATTACACACATTGAAACAAATCAAACTATAATAGTTATCGTATTTGAAAACATGGAAGATTAATCCTGCTAAGGAAGCTTCAATTTATGGATTTATGCATTAGGCACGCAACAAGACAGACATCTCATCCCGAGATGATGACAACTGCAAAAGACTTAGTTCCATAATTTCAGTTTCTAAAAAAGCCTACATGTTTTCTTGCTGACTAGCTCAGTAGCATGTCTGTACAGTTTGTAAAGTAAGTAAGTAATGGCCAGTCTTCGCGAACGAAGAACCGGGGAAGGTCTTTCCACCTTCCAGCCTGCGCATTGGATTTTTTAGGTGAGACACAGTGTGCGCGGAACTGAGCCCACCCTTTAATCCTGAGGTTCATCTGCCGGGGCCAAGCACGCTTGGACGGTGGCAGTGAGGTCCTCAGGACGTAGATGGATTGCC